CCTTCCTCTGTAGCATGGGGCACAGATCACAGCTGGAGGATTCTCTGCATCTTGGGGCCTTCAAACTATTTGAAGGCTTCAATATCTGAGATATAGGTGAGAGGATTATTCTAAGAGGGGTGGGTGAGATTCTGTGACCTGCATTGTACAGGGGGTCAGACTAGATGATCATAATGGTCCCTTCTGACCTTAAAGTCTATGAGTCTATGAGTGAAGATACCTTGGTAAGCAGACATAAGTACACTGACTTCAGCTATGTTATTCACATAGTTAAATTTGTGTAACTTAAATCGACAGCAGGGGGTCAGACTAGATGATCATAATGGTCCCTTCTGACCTTAAAGTCTATGAGTCTATGAGTGAAGATACCTTGGTAAGCAGACATAAGTACACTGACTTCAGCTATGTTATTCACATAGTTAAATTTGTGTAACTTAAATCGACAGTCCACAGGTGTGTAGACAAGGACTGAGTGCAGAGGCGTAGTGAGGATATTCTGTGCCCAGGGACAAAGGCAAAATTTGCGTCCCATCCCGTCCTCCCCCCGATGCTGCTGCTGTCACTGCAGAGCGGGGTCCCAAACCTGGCGCATGGCTGAGCCCGACCGGGGAGCTTGTACTGTGTCTTCCCCTGCTCCCTCCAATTTGGGGCCAGGCCCCAACACACACAAACCCGCTGGCAGAGATGGAGGGTCAGACTGGGGGTGGAGAGGCAGGGAAGAGGCAGCAGCCAGTGGAACCAAAGAATGACAGGGGGTGGAGGAGGACTAAATTGGCGCACCCCTAACATAGCGCTGGGGGGCATCTGCCCCATCCCCTCTCGCTACACCACTGCCTGAGTGTCCTGATTTACCAAGGTAAATCCTAGTGAAAGAAAGTCCAAAAGGAGTAGTGAATGATGTACATCTTTGAAAAAAATCAAGCTGTTTATTTAAATGCCTACCTGTACACATTCACGTTTGAGGCTGTTAGCCTGAGCTATCCCTCAACATTCCCTCCTCTCCCTAGGATTGAGTTTTTTCTCCTTACCTAAGGTGATCATCTCATAGAGTAAGATTCCAAAGGACCATCTGCAAGAAAACATAATGTCAGTTTCACTGGCAGTTCTTATTCCCATTTTCAGCTTGAAAGCAATTGAAAAAAGCAAAATAGCAATTTGAACATATGATAAGCATGTGAGTGAGAACTGGGAAGTGAGCAAAGGGAGGAAAGGGTGAGCTACCAGGGGGGGCTCCATGCTGGAGGTGAAGGTGAGCCCTACAGTGGAGTTTGGATCTGGGGAACAGAACACAGTGTTCTCTGAGGAACAAAAAAGGGACAGGCATGGCTTGAAAGCCAGGTATTGTTTCACCCCAGAACAAACCGTACATGTCTCCCTTGATGCTGTGAGGTTTCATTCGTAGCCGCTCTGGTGCCTGCCACTTGAGTGGCACAGTCTTTGTGACACTGGTGCCATAGGTGTGAATTTCATAAGCTAGGCCCAGCCCACAGAGTTTGGCAGTGAAGTCAGACTGGATCAGGACATTTCTGGCTGCCACGTCACCATGTAACAGCTTCTTCTGCTGGAGAAAATCCTGACAAGTTGGAAAAAGAAGCAGCATTTCTGTAACTGAAATAAATTAACTGAATTTTTTGGTCCTTTGACCTCACCAATGATGTGTGTACCTCTGGCTATGTCTAGACAGCATTTCTGTTTCAGATATCAGAGGAAAAGCAAAATCCACATTTAAAAAAAAAAAAGTCGAAAAAGCGGACACACTCTTTTACCATCCCTGTAAACCACATTTTATGAGAAATAAGGGATGTGTCAAAAGAGCACTTTTGACATTTGACGCCATGTAGACACACCAAATTTCGAAAAAGCCTCTTTCGAAAGTAAATTGGAAAAAGATACAAATTGTATACTACAAATTGCGTTTCTTTTTCCTATTTAACATTGCAGTGTAGACCTAGCCACAGTGATAGAATCATACAGTTGGAAGAGACCTCAGGAGTCATTGAATCCAACCATCTGCCAAAGCAGGACCAACCCCAACTAAATCATCCCAGCCAGGGCTTTACCAAGCCAGGACTTAAAAACCTCTAGGGATGGAGATTCTGCCACTTTCCTAGTTACCCATTCCAGTGCCTCACCACCCTCCTAGAGAAATAGTTTTTCCTAATGTCCAAACTAGGTCTCCCCCACTGTAACTTGAGACTATTGCTCCTTGTTCCGTTACTACTGAGAACAACCTCTATCCATCCTCTTTGGAACCCCCCTTCAGGAAGTTGAAGGCTGCTATCAAATTCCCCCTCACTCATCTCTTCTGCATAAATAAGCCCAAATCCCTCAGGGTATGTCTACACTACCCTCCTAATTCGAAATAGGAGGGTAATGTAGTCATACCGCAATTGCAAATGAAGCCCGGGATTTGAATTTCCCGGGCTTCATTTGCATAAAGCCGGCCGGCGCCATTTTTAAATGCCGGCAGTTCGAACCCCGTGCCGCGCGGCTACACGCGGCACGGAGTAGCTAGTTCGGATTAGGCTTCCTAATCCGAACTAGCTGTACTCCTCATTCCACGAGGAATGGTCCTGGTTAGCCTGATTGACAGGGCAGGCAGGCCAATGAGGGAGTGAGGAACGGCTTTATGCAAATGAAGCCCGGGAAATTCAAATCCCGGGCTTCATTTGCAATTGCGGTATGACTACATTACCCTCCTATTTCGAATTAGGAGGGTAGTGTAGACATACCCTCAGTCTCTCCTCGTAGGTCATGTGTTCCAGATCCCTAATTATTTTTGTTGCCCTCCACTGGACTTTCTCTAATGTGCCCTCATCCTTTCTGTAATAAGGGGTGGGGCAGAATTTGTAATGGGGGGCCCAGAATTTGTGACCTGGGACTCTGAAAGTTATCTGGCACACTTATATAATACAGGTTGAACCTCTCTAGTCCAACACACTCTGGTCCAGCAACACTGATCTGGCATGATTTTAATTAGCTGGACGTCCACTTATCATGGGTCAGGACAAGTTTCCCGTGGTCCCATAAAGTTTGTTTACAGCCACTAGTCCTGGTTTTCAGTGTTCTGAACTGTTATTTAGCTGTAAGTTACCTCTAACTATATTCTAAGAGTCCAGTAAGAAGTGAAAGTGTTGGTAATGCTGCTAGACAATATTGACCTTCCTAATGTAAGGGGACTGTTGGCCCCTTACTAAAACTCAGTGGGGAGTTTTGATTGGTTAGCTCCTAGTATCAAAAGAAAAGGGAAAGGTCTATGATAAATCATGTTCCTGAGATTGACAATCCCCAGGAACAATGAGAAGAAGCTAATGGTCCTGGTTAGCCTGATTGACAGGGCAGGCAGGCCAATGAGGGAGTGAGGAGGCTGGAGAGAGTACTGTCCTCTGTGTGAGCTGAAATTTTCTTGGTCTCACTAAGTGGGGTCAAACTAAGAAGAGAGCATGTGCCTGAGCTGAGCTGGGAAGAGAGCCATGCTAGCCAGAGAGAGCTAGAGACACAGCTAGAGTAGATCCATACTGGGAGCAAAGCTGCAGTCAGAGCCAGAGCCACAGCACGGAGAGCAAATCCCAAGACACAGCTCAAAAGTAGATCCATGCTGGGAGGAGAGAGGGAGCCACAGAGCCAGAGGGCTCCAGAGAAGCAGCCCTGGAGCTGGAGGCAGCACAGCAGAGAGAAGAGCTGGGGCTGAATGGGGTGTGCAGCTGGGGAGATCGGGGAGACTCAGGGTACAAGGTCAATGGAGGGAGACTCCACCAGCCAAGAGGCCTTGCAGGCCACACTGGGGAGAAGGATCCTGCCATCCAGAGCAAGTGTCTGACCTGCAGCATCCCTCCAACATAATCAGGGCTTGGGACATACAAAAGACAGACTGAACTGTCCTGCCATTCCACGCCCATGTAGTGATCTGCTGGTTCTGTTTATCTTACTCTGTTGTATGTATCATTTGTGTGTGGAAAATTAGACACGTGGAGTGGGGAATACTTGGTGGCTACGTCTACACTGGCCCCTTTTCCGGAAGGGGCATGTAAATTTCACGAGTCGTAGTAGGGAAATGCGCGGGGGTTTTAAATATCCCCCGCGGCATTTAAATAAAAATGTCCGCCGCTTTTTTCCGGCTTTTAAAAAAGCCGGAAAAGAGCGTCTACACTGGCCCCGATCCTCCGGAGGGTCTTATTCCTACTTCAAAGAGTCTTATTCCTACTTCAAAGTAGGAATAGCAATTGTTACCTGGGGGCAAGCAGCGTGCACATTCCCCCTTTCATTGCTAAAGAGGGTTTACCTAATTCCTCGGGGTTTGATCCCATATGGGGAGTGCTATACCCAGGAGGCTGGGCTCTAAACTGCACTCTCCTTAGACCTGAGGAGGTTCAGTGTCTGTGCTGCTTCTCAGTGGGGGCAGGGATCTTAGCTTGGGGCCTTGGCTGGAGGAGACCAGGGAGCTGGCCCAGCAGGACTGGGCGGTGAGGAGTCCCAGAGAGCAGGAAGGCGAGTGGCAGTGGCCAGGTCAGCACCCCGAGAGGCACCCCCAAGGGGTCATCTGTGACCTCACCCCATCACAGTGGCGCAGCGAGCAGGGTTAATGTACACAGATAGTTGCTCTGGTTGCTTGTAGTGATTTTAAGTGGGTTCTAACTGTGGTTTTAGAAGGCAGAGAAAGGGGTTACTAGTTTGTTATTTTTTGTTTGCTTATTTCGGGTAAGGGAAACAGAGTCAGGAAGATGAGTGAGAGCGAGGTTCAGAAGAAACTGGAGTTGCACAGAATCCAAGCAGCGGAGAAGGAGGCAGAACACCAAAGACAAAGGAGTTAAAGTGGCTCAAGATAGGAGCCCAAGCTTCTCAAGCTGCCTGGGATCAAGCTGCTCATGAGAGGGCTCATCAAAGAGCATTGGAGTTAAAAGAACTTGAAAAGGAGGAGAGGGAAAAGGAGAGGCAGCACGAACTGCCTGTACTTGACTTGAAGAATAAGCACCCCAATAATGCAAGACCTTCCTCTCCAAAGATCCAAGACTGGGACTGACTCTGCCTTCCTTATGATGAGTCTGGTGATATTGCCGAATACTTCATCACTATTGAGAGGCTGTGTATCATCCACTCTATCCTTGAGGAACAGAGAATGCCCACGCTGATTGCAAAATTGAAAGGGAGAGCCCTGGACATATTCAATAAGATGTCTATTGCTGATGCTTCCAACTATGATAAATTCAAATATTTGGTTTTAAGACAGTTTCAGATCACACCTGAAATTTAGAGGGTGAGATTTAGAGCCCTTAAGAGAGGGGCTGGGCTAAGTAATGTGGCTTATGTTAACCAAATGAGATATTTGCTAGATAAATGGGTGAGAGGAAGAAGGATCAAGAGCTTTGAGGGCATGTGTGATCTGATGGTTCAAGAATAGTTCCTGGACATGCTGGATGATAAGAGAGGCCTGGGTCTTTTTGGCTGGGCTGCACCTGAAGGAAGGAGCCAGGGACCCCAGTGGGTGTAGAGAGCCCTGGATTAGTGTGGCAGCTGGAAAAGAGGGTTTAGGGTGAGTTTGATTAAGTTTGTACTGAGGTTTCAATGCAGAATTAGTCAAGCGGTTTTGTTTCTTTTGATTAGTAACCTACTTGGCTCTGCCTACTTTCACTTATTACTACTTAAATCCTACTGCTTCAACATAATAAAACCATTTTTATTTTCTATCAAACCCAGTGTAAGCGATTGTTACCTGGAGAGGGCAACCAGCGTGCACATTCCCCCTTTCATTGCTAAAGGGGGGCTTATGTAATTCTTTGGGGTTTGATCCCATCTGGGGAGTGCTATACCCAGGTGGCTGGGTCCTAAACTGCACTCTCCTAGGACCTGAGCAGGTTCAGTGTCTGTGCTGCTTCTTGGTGGGGGCAGGGACCTCAGCTCGGGGCCTGGGCTGGAGGAGACCTGGGAGCTGGCCCAGCAGGACCAGGCGGTGAGGAGCCCCAGAGAGCAGTAAGGTGAGTGGCAGTGGCCGGGTCAGCACCCCGGGAGGCACCCCCAAGAGGTCATTTGTGACCTCACCCCGTCACAGTAATTGTTGTTTAATAAATTGTATTTGCTTTGAACGAGATGTAATCATCAGTGGATCGGGGGAGGGGGGATTCCATGTGAAGAGAGCACCCCAGAATGGGGACACCCAGCCCCTTCCTTACATGACCATAACAAGGTTAGGGATCAACCCTTCCAGAATCCTAGCCTCAACCTTGCTGGGTTTACAAGGACTCTGCCACACAGGAGGGTGGAAGGGGAGCCCTCGGGATCAAGGAAGTCTCTGGGTAAAGGAAGTGGGAGCAGAGACTTAAATCCTTTCACTAGCACATTTTACCAGGGTAGTGTAGAAGCCAGAAAAGTTCCCCACAATAGCAGGACCATTCCCCCGCTTACATAATTGGTGTCACAAACAGGATCCTATCCACAGGGTCCATCCTGTTGTTTTACTGGTTGAGTTCCTGTAGCACTGTCCAGGCCTGGTCCAGAACCCTACCAAGGTTAGAAATGAAGGACTATGGACTCAGCTTGCTGATTTGCAGTGCAGATTATCAGTCCAAGCTGAGACATTGCAACAAGCTAGAGCTGAACAGAGAGAAGTCTTATCACTGGCCACGGCAGTGATAGACCAACAGGCAGCAGAAGCTAAGAAACCTCCTGCTATTTATGTCCCTCAGGAGCAGAAGATCACAGAGTTTGGTGGATTTCCGGTTAAGCCAGGAGACATTATGGTACATGAGTGGGTGAAGTCTGTGTGTGCTAAGAGTATGTGAAGAAGATCATGTGGACTTCAGAGAAGAGCACCTCAAGGGCCAAGCCAAGCCACAGTAACGTTCATGGCAACGACAGATAGGAAAGACATAGACAAGATATTTGAAGTCCTCCTACAAGTTTGTGGAGATTAGGTACCTATTGGAATCCAATGAAAGGAGTTCTTTGTGTGAAAGCAGGAGGCAGAGCAGGGGAAGCTCTGGACAGGCAATCTCCTAGGCTCAGAACCAAGGTTAGGAAGGCTGAAGAGAGGCAGTCAGGGTAGGCCCTCCTTACCAATGATAAGTGGCCACTGCAGACCAGGTGAAACTGTACAGGCAGATGGCTGTTCACCAGTGCAGCTCAGGCACATGCTCTCTCCTTAGCTCAGCCCCACTCAGCCAGGAAATTTCAGCTCATATGGAGGACAAGACTCTCCCCAGCTTCCTCACTCCTTCATTGGCCTGCCTTCCCTGTCAATCAGGCTAACTGGCTAAGCCAGCAACCTGCCTCGTGTGTGACCTACCTTTCCTACCTCCCTGTAGCATGACTGGTGAAACAAGGTACCAGGCAATTGAAGTCAGGACCTCTAGCCTGGATACCCCACCAGCCAGTGTGTGGAAAGGGGGGGGCAGCTCGGCTCTTCTTTAAAAAGAGAGTGGGGGAGTATTGGGATATGTAAAAATTAATAGCGGTCTGGGATGGCGGTAAGGGGTCCAGCCACAGCAGGCATTGCTCTTTAAGCATATTTCTCCCCTTTGACCTTGTAGCCTAGAAAAATAGTTACACAGAACACTGTCTTGTTTTGACTTATTACTTGCTCTGTAAAAACGTTTTCAGGGTCATAGTTCTTTCCTCTTCCTGTAAGCTGGGGCGCATCTACACAGCAGGCCTTAACTGGAAATAAGCTACACAAATTGAGCTACGTCAACTGTGTAGCTTATTTCGAAATAGCTTATTTTGAAATTGGGAGCATCTACACAGCACTTATTTCGAAATAGAGGACTCTTCATCCAACTTCCCTTACTCCCTTGTTCAACGAGGGTTACAGGAGTCGGAGTAAGAAGCCCTCCAGCTTTACAGTATTTCAACATTATTTCAACATAACTGCCTGCTGTATAGACGCAGAATAAGTTATTTCAAAATAATGGTGCTGTGTAGACATACCCCAGCTGATTAAGACAGTATGTAATGCTGATTCAACTAAAAACCAGTAAACAACAAACAGGGGCCGATATCATTGTATTCATCACCTGACTGTTAATATTCACTGTATGGGAGTTAACATTACTAAATAAGGTTTTAGGGAAAGTCAAAATAACCATGTGAATTAACATACTAAAATGATTAAAAGGGTGTAAATGGTGCCAAATTGTTGCCACTCGGAATGTTGTGTTAATTATCTGAGATAAATGTTCATGAGCAATAAAGCAGTCCATTACTCCATTGGCCCCTGGGTCGCCTGTTTCTTCTCTAACAATAGCAGAAGACACCTCTGCTCAAAAGAACTTAGTGTAAATAAGAAAGTACGACAGTATTATCTGCATGTTATAGACACAGGACTGAGACATACCTAAGTGACTTGCCTAAATTGGTGACAAAGCTGACCATTAAACACTGATGTTTGAGTATTAGTCCAGTACCTTAACCACAATACCACCCTTCTTCCATTTTTATCTCTGCTATTTCTTGGGAACTCCTATTTTTAAATTACCATTTTTCTAATGAAAGGTCAGCTGGTGCTACTACAGCAGATAAACAACAGAGATTCTTGAATGAATGTAATTCTTTGTCTGTTCCAAGGATTAATAGAACCAGCAGTAACAGTCTTATCAGATTTAGGAAAATCTAAAACCTTTTGCTTCCTGTTTAAATTTAGCACATGATTTTTAACGGATCTAAATTTAAAAGAATAAAGTTTCCCCAGATTGACCCCTGATGTTAGAAGGGGGTGGGGGTTCTCTTTCATGGTCTCTCCTACCAGGATAAATAAATAAAAATGAAAATATATAAATACAGCTATCAGACTTACCAAAGCAGCTGCAACCTGCTGTCCGATCTTGTATACCTGTCTCTCTGTGAGGTCATATGGGATATTATCCATGGTCATTACATCCTAGAGAAAAAAAAGTAGAAAGTACATCAAACAAATGCTACAGGAGAGGAAAAAAGGCAGACAGCTGTTTCATATGAATGAAATTCTAGTTTTAGCAAATGGCACAATATACATCTAACCCTTCCATCCTACTACAAGCATCACTCTCCTTATGCACCCCACATGGCAAATCATCATTACTGGCCCCGCTTGAGATTGTTATTCTTCATAATCATTGATAATGCTCAAATGCAAACCTGGAAGAGGTAAAGAAGTGAGTAGTTAAGCAGTTGATGAGTAGATGCAGATATATCAGAGGTGCTGAGTCAGAGAAGTGGATGACTGGTAGGGTAGGTAAGTAATGTGGTGGGGATAGCAGAGGTAAGTGGGAAGGAGGGAAATGTGACAGGAAGGGAATGACTAGATTGAAATATACATACAAAAGCAAGAGTCATATTGGGAATTGACAGATAATTAGAGAAGCCTGGATTAGAGAAGCCTGAATTAAAAGAAACACAAATGATGTAGCTATCTTCTTAAATAGATGTATGTAAGAGACACGGGCAGAGGTGGAGGATAGACACGATAACTGGTCTAGCACTCACTTCCTCAGACTTACCTTGCGGCAGGTCCACAAGAAGTTCAGAAGGTCTCCTTGGGACACATCTTCCAGGATCATATAAAGGGGGAGCTGGGCTATACAACATCCCGTAAGTTCAATCACAGTATCATGATGGCCAAGGGACTGATGAAACTTTATCATTCCCAGGAAACCCTTCACCTCACTGGGCCCAGCATTGTCTGAAAGTACCAGAGAAAATTATAGTATACCAGGAAGCAAAGAAGAGCAAAGACCCTATTCAACTTTCTCAACATAGAATTACAGAACTAGAAGGGACCTTAAAAGGTTATCTACTCCAGTCCCCTGCACTCATGGCAAGACTAAGCTTTATTTAGAACATGTAGTGCAACCTCCTTTAACGTGCATATACTGCTTGCAACTAAACCCTGCTAAGAACAAATTTACCCATGGCTAGCTGACATGGCAATGAACACGTGCTTGTCTAGAGTGAATGCAAAATCATGGTCAAAATTTTGTCATCTCACATTTTTCCAGACATGCTCAAATGTGATCAAATTTTGAAGTGAAGACAAGACCTTAGAGAGAGACTGAGACATACAAACCTAGAGATAAATCACTGAGGGGACACATTCAAAAGAGAAGTGCAGCTCAGAGCAGAGAAAGGGGCAACCCCTTGTGCAACTGACAGGAAAGAAAACAGGGACTCAGCTAGAGAATGGGGAAGGAATGTCTAGTAGATACACACAAGTGGGTAACAGAAGTGTACATAAATGGAGCACTCCTGCCTCCTGTGTTACCCTGTAAGGCTTTCAGAATGACTGTCTTAGTCTTCCCAGGGTTCCCAGTCTTCATTTCTGCTCTGTAGATGCCCCCAAAACTGCCATTGTGTATCAGCTCCAAAGACCCTGGTGTGAGTCTGTCCCGTGGTATCTCCAGCTCCTTCAGAGTCAAGGCTGCAGATCTTAGTAGACTTTCCACAGTTGTGTCACTAAGTTGGATGTAGGGGTTCCCTGATTCACCCAGCTCCTGCTG